CCAAATAAGTTAATTCTTTAGGGTGTTTAACCGAATTAGTAAAATGGTAAATATTCATCCATATCAGGCAGAACCAGGTCCTAAAAAGTACGATAAATACCCGCATGGTCTTCCTCCTCCTCCGCTCCGTTAGCAGTCAACGATGCCAAGTTGCTATGATGTTTCAGACTGTCCTTGATCTTCTCAGCACATTGCAGGGCTTCACTGAGCTGTATGTAGAAAGATTTATGCTAATATAAATTAGATCTGATGACAAAAAAACGTCACGGGTACGTGGCGGCAGTCTAAGAGGGAAAGGTTTTCAGAAGGCCCTGTTATTCTAGTGGTCCGCATACAATCACCCACTTAACATCCCCACCGGATGAGATCCTCACAGAGGGAAAACAGACAAACAAACTTATATCTAGGCCCATCCAGATGAACTTTAAACGAGGAAAAAAGAAAGACAATAATGCGACTTGGCAAAGCAATGATAGCACAAAGGGCATCTCTGGCGCTTCGTTTCTTTCAAGTATCTCCAATGCAGTTCATACACTATTGAAGAGCATCAAAAGTAAACTCGACTGTGATCATTGTCACTACAGCTGCACGACAGAAGTTGTTTGGGAGCACGAAGAAAAACATGACTGATTGCGATAACCGCTGAATTTTAGGGTTTTCAAGCAGTTTAAATTTCTAACCTGACTTTACAAGGCTTAAAGAACGAAAGAGCTAGTCGGGCTCGTCGCCTGCCCAGGAAATCGACTTGACGGAAGGCATTTCGAAGGCTAAAAGTGGCAAGTTCGCCCGATTTAATGAAGCATTTTCCAAAATTCTCAACAGCAGCGAAAAAAAATGGCACAGTAAACAACTCTTAAGATTTTCTAAACTACAAATACGAGAGGTCACTAAAAAATAGCTTAGGAAACTGCATAGGATACGCCAGAGTTCCAAAACAGAAAACTGGGCTTCATTATTCTTTCACAACTTTCCTGTGCACAAATTAACACTTTCATAAATTTGCTCTTGAGTAGAGTTCACCTCCCGATCACACGAATCCAACGGTTAGCACAGTAAGTAACATGAGTTAACAGATCCAGATTTTACTGAACACCTACGCATATTTTCGGTTTCTGGAGACAATCAGTAGTCACGGTGGATAGAATTAGGTTTGGAGAACAAAGCTGCCCAGCGGACGGTTACGTTAGCAAGATGCAGCGCGGATTCACTAAGTATCTTCTGGAGAGATCTCTAGGCAGAATTTAAAAAAACTTTTCAGCACTTTTCAGCATACGACTGGACTGCCATTAAGTATCGTACAGGACGGAAAACTTATTAATTCGCCTCCTGGAACGTCCAGTACTCGACTACCTAGAATCTTGACCAAATCGCCGACAAGGGCGGGCACATCAAAATAATGATTTCTGGCTGATAGCTCAAGGTTTGCAGTCAGAATAGTGGATCATCGAGTAACGCGTCCACACCACGGCGCAGTGGGCCCACGCTCTGTTGGCTGTGTGGTTAATGACGGCAAATATATTAAGAAAGTCCATTCTGGAGTTCCTCACCTTGTCTATATAACTAGGTTCTTAATTACTGCTAGTAAACATGTGATTGTCTGCGTGGGCCATAACGCTACCAGCTCAAAGCAAATCAGGAGTGTTCATCCTCGTCCTGCAATTGAGACTGATCGGGATACGTCACTAGCTCATTTAACTACCGGCAGACATGATAAACAACAAAATAATAGTTACGAGAAAATAAACAAAGGTCAACAAAAGATCGAAAAAAGGAGTTACTTTTGCTTAAAGTGGTCTTTCGGTAATACTGAAGGGAAGGTGCGAAGGACCGAAACGGAACAAAGCATTCAATAAAAAGAAGCCACAGGAGAACTAACCTCAACTTTGAAGGCCTTTTGACGTTCTGGGATGTCATCGGCTGAAAATGAGGGAAGAAGGAGTAAAATCCGTGTCCAGTGGACGGGTGTATACAAGTAAACGAGGGGGTTAGACAGGGCGGAGGACGATGGGATCAAAAGTCCAGTCGACATGGATGGCCAAAAAAGAAACGGCTCTGCTTTTGACTGCTAGGTTTTATTAGCTTTACACGGGCAACTAAACTATAAAACAAATTCAGTACCTCTGAGTGGGTGCCTATATTAGCTACAATTTTCTGACTTGCATTCATTGTTGGTTTCTTTGCTGTCCTGCTAAAGCCACGCTCACTGGAGTTTGTCTGCGCACATCATTTAAAGGTCTAGTTACTCAAACGTTTTGAGGATTGGAGTTAGAGGCGAAATGCATTTATTGATCGGCTCTAAAGGTAAAATCGAATGTGATTTACGGCCAAGTTATTGCAGCCATCCATCTTGAAGCTGTCGACCAGCCACTACAGTCGTCGAC